TCAATATTTATTCTCTTACACAATCATATTGAATATATTTCTTGATCTGACTCTGACTTGTATTTCTTTGTCATGCCAAAGATGATTATAGTTTAATCCCAAAATTTTGAGCAGACCTCAGTTAGGCCAGTTGATTAGAACAATGTGCTTACTCTTTTTAATTACACTAGAGTTTCATAAGAGTAGAATGATTTAGAATAGGAACTTTTGACTTAGCTCGGTCGGACTGAATTGTGGAAAAAAACTCACATATTATGGCACCAAACCACTATAGAACCTGCAATTAGAAGTGACAAATCAACTCATTGGGTTATTAATGGATACTCGTTAAGACCCATTTAATTTGATATTACCATAATATAAAAGTAAAATTGTAGCGATAGTAATGTGGTAAGTTGAAAACAAACTAAATGGGTCTTAACAGGTACTCATTAGCAACCCAATAAGTTGATTTGTCACATCTACCTGCAATGTTAGGTCAAATGATGAAATTGTGCCCAGAAAGTAAACTCTCCATGCATGTTAGAGAGACCGGTAGGTGTTAAATCTCCTAAAAAGCCAGTTCACCTCTGCTAAAAACCAAAACTGAAAAACCCTAGCTACTTCCCGTGATCTCTAGCAAACAACAAGAACAGAGACAATCCCGTGATCTCTAGCAAACAAGAAGAAAAGAGACAAGGACAAGGAGATGAACTTACATATACATTCTGAATGATCTTCTCTGTCGTTCAAAAGTGAAAGACCCGAAATTAAACGGCACTTTTAATACTGAACGATCGAAAATTCTAATATTCCGGTATATCTGAGTAGAACAGTATGATATGAATGCTTAGATGTACGTGGGGACAACAGAAAAAACTGTCATGTTTTTGTTGGAAACAAAAGTGCTTAATTATAAGTGCTTATGGGTCCAAAGCCATGCAATCGGCATCTGTCTTGATGCATCAAATCCAGCTAGACCCACAAAATAAGTCACCCCATTAATTCATAAATTAACAAATCCCCAACTCACCTAATCTTTTATATATGCGTGTATGTAATTATATGTGCCTCCCTTCCCTACCCTCATTTAATATTTCTTTACTTTCGGAGAACGCGGGTTCCATTTTTGTCTGGCAATCTTGGCTTTTTCTAATATGTTGTCACCATTTTATACCTGTATTTTGAAGGCTAATACCAGTCGTAGTCAAGGGAGCGTATTTTGGAGGAGAGGGACTTATTTATTTCGAGATGTTTTTAGGACGGTATCTAAGTATCTTAAGTTATAAATTAATTCTTTTACGTATTGACAAAGGCATCCAAGTTGTAGGTAAGATCTTCTCGTTTTGTAGGTACCAAATGTGTCAACATATCACAAGGTGACATTTAAGAAAAAAAATTGTTTCTATTGTATTTTAAGAATAATCAGTTTTAAAATTAAGTAGTTGAGCGTTTGATAAACTGTATTTTTAAAAGTGTTGTGATTATGAAAAACAATGTAAAAGCGTTGTGGTAAATTTTAATGTAAAAGTAAGATGGTTATAATAATAGGAAACTTTATTCTAATTCTAACCATGAGTAAGATCACAATCTAATTTTAGTCCCTTAATACATTAATCACCTCATTTATTAATTATATTTTGATGTTTTAATTATTTCTTATTTTTCTTCCTAATCTTAATATATTAATTATATTTCATTATAATTATAATTTTTATTTCATTCCTTGTAATATATTTTGTTGTAAACATTTAGACAAACTAACTTTTGTTATACAATATATCTCGATATACTTTGTCTTCTTCATTTAGGTACATTAAATTTATTATAATACAATTTGGTGCATACATTTAGGTACACATATTTCGGTACATACATTTCAATACAAACATTTTGATACATTAATTCAATATAATATATTTCGGTACACACATTAATTCAAAATATATTTTTGTGGTGGTGGTAACTCTGGTGGCATTTGTGGTGGTGGTGGCAAAGATAGATTATGGTGGTGGTAATGGCAATGATGGTGGTGACAGTTGTGGTGCCAGTGGTGGCGGTGGTGATGGCCTTGGTAGTGGTGACAACGATGATTAATTGCACGATTGATGTAAGGTTAATGGTTCTAGTAGTAGATGGTGACACCCAATATTCTCTGTTGGAGAGAATGTATGTAGAAAGATAAATAATATGGTTTTCAAAAATTGATTCATTGAAAGCCCAACTCAACTTCATATTAAAACAACCTACAAGTTGCATTTAAAACTGCTGTCTTGGAAGCCATTGTTTTAAAAATAAGCAAAATATTTATTTTTAACTTGAAAGTTAAGCAGTTTTTGGCAAAAAAAAAAAAAACACAATACCAACAGGGCCTTAGTGAAGCCAAGATCAGTAGAATTGTAACCGTGTCAGATATTTGACTTGTTATTTCTTGTAACTTAAATTGATAATTTGACAATATAATATATTTAATAAAAATAATAAGAAGGTGATGTTCTTTTCGTATGCGTATACATACGTATACTTCTAAAATAGTGGGCCTTCTGATTTTAAGGAACGATGAGAGCAGGAGCGCACAGGCCCCACACACCACCTCACTCTCATATTACTGGGCTCCACTCCCAGCATCCAGTTGCCACTAGGCTTGCACAGGAGAGTTGGATAGGAGGTGGATTGTCAGCCCTTCTATTTTTATACTCTTTTCATTCCTTTTTGTTTTGTGTGGTCGCGCTAGCCAGAAGTTTGCCGTTTATTTAAATCACGTCAACATTTTATATTTTTATTACTTTTTATTTTATTATTTTTATAAAAAAATTAATATAAAATATTAACATGGTTTAACCGTAACCATACAAATAGAAGGGGATGTAAAGAGTATGGAAATGTGAGGGCAGACAATTCACCTCCAGTTGGATAAGCCGGATTTCAGGTGACGTGGCGTTCCCAAAAAGAATCCTACTTGCATGCAATGCATGGCCTGTAGTTGTCGGGTTCTTACTTTTCATATTCCTTTTTCTTTTTCTTTTCCTCAAATAATAATTAATAATTATTTACATTTCTTTTTCTGTCTGTATTTTTGGACCGACGTCGTTACTAAAAAATTAATCTACATTATCTTAGTCTAAATCCCAGACCGAACGACATGTCTCTAGAGTCAAATATACAACTAGGCAGGCTATATATAAACCCTAAATAATCCAAATTTCATCACCATTTCTTTCTTTATATAGAGCAGTTGGGAATAGGATTGTAGGATTTCACCTTCTCCAAACATTTTTGTATGGAATTACAATATAATTACTTTGTATAATTATTTCCCGTGGTGGTTTTGGGCAGGTGCACTAAGCACCTTTGTACAGGGCTTCCAATCTTAAAGTCTCCTAAAAGATGATATCATACGCATATGTACCGGTTTGGAAAATTTTCTGAGTTCTACATGTGAATGCGAGAAATATGGCCTCGATATGCATGAGAAAAATCAGTTTTATGCTTTTAGTTTAATCTTGCCCACTTTGTCTAAATTTTGTTGTTATTTATTTATTTTCATGATTTTGTTTGATGTGGACTATCTCAAGTAATAATACTTCTATTAAATCCTTAGTAAAACAACTATTGACATATAAATTAGCTTTGTAGCAAGAGTTTTTACACGAACCCATTTACTATCTTCTGCACAAGACCCATAATATCTCAAAGGCGAACCTGATTATCTCGTATGTTGAATATAAATGCACGATAAAGTTGATATATTTCGTATATGTTAATCTTTTATAATGTTGATTATTTTGGTTTTTATAAAGCTTAGAGCCCATTTAATATTTCTTTTTAGGTTTTGTTGTGAATAAAACATCTTTTTCAACAAACAAAAAATTATGGTATCCATATGTATCTACTCATTTTATAATGCATGAATGAGTTATGTCTCGTTATGGTAGTTATATCTCGTTATGGTACTTTAGTATAATTCTCTACAACAATTTGAGCAGTAGTCTACACTCTGCTTGTGTGGTGAGCTGGATGAGATTGAGCCTTTAGAGATGAAATTAGATTGGCAGGGATTTATAAGACAAAATTTGCAACTCATGTATAAGAATAAGTTAGATAACCCACTCTATTGTGGATTAATAACCCATCATGTCCAGTTCTGTCTATCTCACATTTTGATACAACAAACAACGGATTGGACTTGAGTCTATTTTAATTAATTAATAACAACCTATCTCATTCAACCCACCAAACAGTGCCTCTATATTTACGCGGTCTATAGAAGTCATCAATAGGGAAAAGGAAAAAAGAATGTGAATGGAACTAGTCCTCCTAATTGATTTGATAATTTTTAAGTGTTTGATTACAGATTTCAAGTTAGAACTCACCATTTTTTCAATTTCATGTGCAGAGAAAGGAATGCTAAGGAAACTATCTCAAAAGTAAGACTTTCTATAGACTTTCTACCACTTCATATTTTTAGCACAATATTTTATAATGTTGACTCAGGCATTGACGTTAAACTGTGAAGTGACATAAGTCCCACTTTAAGAGAGTTCCCTTAGCATTTCTCATGTAAAGAACTTAAAAATTGAAATGATTTAAATACTCATATTTTAACGTACACGGAGAACTGAAAAATCAAAATCATTCTAATTTCTAACTTAAATAAGTATAAACTTGTTATAAAGAGAAATACCAAGGAGATTCTCTCAAAAAATTAGGTCTCTATGAACTCTCCGTCACCTCATCTTTGTGGCACAGTTCTCATGTTAACATTAGAAAACAATGTGCCAAAAAAATGATGCGACGAAGAATCCATAAAAAATCTAACTTTAATCTCATTTGCATTTCTCATAAATTAAACTAAATCACAAATAAAGAAATTAAACTTAACTGCAAAGAAAGCGTATATGTGTGACTAACTTAGGTAAAATCATCCCAACCTTAAAAAATATTCAACCCATGTTTGACTGCCAAGTGTCACCAACCCATTTCACCTCTCACCAAAACTCAAGTCATTAAACTAATCTCTTCCTTCGCACTCCCACAAAATTCATGCCTAACAAACAGCCCTCGCAGAGCCTCAGCTGAAAACAACTCTGCAGCTTTCTTGTCCAATTCCCTCCCTTTAAAAATCCTCATATGCTCTCTCTAACTCCCACCAACAAAAACACCACCACAATGCTCAAACTCCTCAGCAGGAAGCTCCTCCGCCTCTGCTCCCGCCTCCGCTGGCCGCTCTGCCGCCGCTCCCGCCCCAAAGTCGTCATAAAAGTTTTCGGGAAAACAAGCTCCAGAAAATCCCAACCCGAAAATGAAGCCAATGGCACTCATGCGCCGGCGGCAGTACACCCCAATACCGACTTAAAAAAAGAGCGGCCGATTCGGGTGGCGACTTTCAACGCCGCCCTCTTCTCAATGGCGCCGGCGGTTCCCAAAGCCGAGAAATTCGGGAACTTGGACGGCGAAAATGGAGGTAGTAGCTTGACGATCCATAAACACGTCAGTCGAACAAAGTCTTCGGGAAGCGAACGTCCGAAGAGTATTCTGAAACAGAGTCCTCTGCATCCGAATTCGATGAACAACTCGGAGAATCTCACGAAACAGCAGAAGTTCTCGAAATCCAAGTTAAGGGTTTCGATCAATCTTCCGGATAACGAGATTTCCCTGCTGAAAAACCGGCAATTGAGCTTTTCGGAAGGCAGAGCAAAGGAAGATGCTTTCTCTCCCGTGACCGGAAAATCGCCTCTGAGATCGTCGAGTGTGAGGATTTCGGGAGTTTTGAGAAGTGGGGCGACGGCAGATGGAGATTTGCACAGAAGTCATCGGACGGTTCTTGAAGTTTTGAGAGAGCTGGATGCTGATGTTCTGGCGCTGCAGGATGTGAAGGCGGAGGAGGAGAAGGATATGAAACCGCTGTCAGACTTGGCGGCGGCGTTGGGGATGAATTATGTTTTTGCCGAGAGCTGGGCGCCGGAGTACGGCAACGCCATCTTGTCGAAATGGCCGATTAAGCGGTCCAAGGTCGAGAAAATCTTCGATGACACCGATTTCAGGTAAGAAATTTTCTGCTCAGAATGTTGGTTTATTAAATTATGAACCTCTGTTCTAAAGCCGGACTATTAACTTGACTAAGCAAAATCCTCAGTTTTTTTCTTTCTTTCTTTTTCATGGTAAAGTAGAAAAATTATCTGTGCAGAACGTTAGTTCTTTAATAAATAAATAAATAAATAAAAATTATCGATGATATATGAATACTTTGTTAGTTAGCGTCTGTTTCATAGCCGCATTATTAATGTTATTTATTAAAAATCCTCTGTTTTTTTTTTTAAATTTATGTGATAGTGCATGAATATATGTTTTGTGATTGAGATAATGATTATGATGCTTTTATGTTGACTAATTAAAGTGGTCTATTTCCAAAGCAAATCTCTTTCAATTGAATGCAAAGTTTATGGCCCAAACTTTACAAAAACAAATGTAAAGACATTTTCACTTTTTTTCTTGTTCTTTTTCTTTCATAAAGTCATCAATTATTATAAAGTTCTAAACTTTACTATAAATTACAATCTGAAATTAGGTATTGGCTACAATAATTACATGTATTTAATACAATTATCATGTTAATCATGAGATGATAATTGTCTTAAGGGTAGTTTTTTCCACGCACTTATTTTTACTTCTCATACGTCTCTAAATTTGTGGTCGTCAAATTGAATGAATTGAAAAAATATTAATAGCTAAAAAATAACATGAGTGTGTGATAAATAAAAATAAATGTTGAATAACATTATCCTTGAATTAATACACATATTCACACGAATATTTCTTATTGAGAGATAATAGTTGTATTAAATACATATAAAAATCATGAAATATTTGCCCATATTATAATATGTGCTTGGAATGCCTGCTAGGCTTCTGCTGCCACACAGCCTGTATGTTTGGAATTTTACTTGGCTCTGCAGAGTTGTTTATCAAATTTGGAAATTTTTAATATTTTATTTTGGGGTGACTTGGTATTTAGCTGAAAATAAATCTTAAGTTTTTGAGCGTTTGAACAACTCTAATTTTACGGGAAGAGTATTCGGCCGGCAAGGGGCAATTACATTGGTATATGACCAACTGATCAAACTCACATTTGCATAAAAAATCTTAAGTTTACAGATCTATGTGTTGCTTGAGAATTTAGTTGAGATTGTGCTTGATGGATTGGAATTTGGGACCAGAGAAAGATATTGCTTGTATTATTATCTAGTGATGTTGCTCTTTTGGGAAAGGTTTCAAATGATGGGAAAATCATTTTAAAAAGTCTTAATCCTACTTAGCTAACCCTAAGCTCCCTTTTAATGAAAGCGAAATATCGCTGTTAACAAGTATTAAAAATGTAAACGTTGGGTGAGGAGTACATAGGTGTCCCTGCAAGTCTGCAATATAGGTGGATTATGTTAATTAAATAGTTTGCATGATTGAAAAGACAGCTCTCCCCTTAACTGTTTGTGATATATTTTTTGAGAAATGTTAACGGAACTTTCTTAATAATATAACTCTTTATGAATATTCTGCAACTTCATGTTTTTATCCTAATATTTTATAATATTTGTATGATAATTTACATTAAACTACGAGTTGGCAGAGAATCTAATTTTTGAGAGAATCTTCTTAACATTTCTCATATTTTCCTGTTAGCAATGAGAATATCATGATTAGTGCTAAGTTAAATCATTTAAGTGAAAAGTGAAAATAGGCATAAATATGAATGTAGGTCACTCTAGGATGTACACTCTCTAGCATCTAAGTTAGAGGTTTTGTTTAAATGAGAGTAATTTCGAATATTGTCTGTCAATCAAAAATACGTTAACCATGGTTAGACTAGTTAGTTAAGATAATATGTTCAACTCCTTGCATCTAAGTTGGAGTCTCGTTTCCGTAGTGAAGTTGTTTAGAATATTGTCATGTTAGGCAGAAAGATTAATCAAATTTTCGGTGCTTGATGAAAATGACACACAGGAATGTCCTGAAGGCCACCATTGATGTTCCTGAAGCAGGAGAAGTCAACTTTCATTGCACCCACCTCGATCATCTTGATGAGAGTTGGAGGATGAGGCAGATTAATGCTATAATCCAATCAAGCAATGAGCCCCACATCTTGGCTGGAGACCTCAATTCTTTGGATGAGTCAGACTACTCTCAAGAAAGATGGACTGATATTGTAAAGGTGAGACATGATGACACTTCCAAATTATCAGAAATTATCTGTACAAGACCTCCGGTTTTTGCCAAAAGGACCGATTTTGTACGGATAACACGTCTATACATTTTGTTATTAACATGTAATCTATCAATGTTTTCAACAGTTCGTCATTTAATAAATAAATAAAAAGAACATCATGTTCAGAGAAGAACTGTACAAATTATGTACCTAACAACGCTTTGATTTGTTTTGGCTGCAGTATTATGAGGATATGGGTAAACCAAGGCCCAAGGTTGAAGTAATGAGATACTTGAAGAGCAAGCAGTACACAGATGCAAAGGACTTTGAAGGAGAATATGAGTCAGTGGTTATGATTGCCAAAGGCCAAAGTAAACCAACCCGAAACCCTAATGTTAACTTGTTACCTGGTTTGAGCTTGAGCGCTATTGTTTTTCTAAATGCATAAATTTGTACCTTAACGCAGGTGTGCAGGGAACATGCAAGTACGGAACGAGAGTAGATTATATATTAGCATCTGCGAACTCACCTTACAAATTTGTTCCTGGATCATACTCAGTGTTTTCTTCCAAGGGGACATCAGATCATCATATAGTAAGAGTTGATGTTGTAAAAGTGGATAATTGTGGTGAAGAAAATAACAGCAGAAGAAGGCAGCTGAAGCAAAAAGTTACCAAGATAACAAACCCTACTTCCCAGTCAAAAGGAATATGGAAAATCCCACATATATGAAAAGAGCGTGCTATCTACACACATCTTTTTACCTTTCATACAATCTTCTCAATTTCCGATCATCAGCTCGAATGAAATGAAGAAGATCAAATGATAGAAATTAACTTAAAATGTGTAAAAGATAAGCGAGGTGTGTAGATAGCACAACCCATATGAAAAAAACATATAGATTAATAATTGACTTTTACTTTTACAGTTTAGATTTAGGGTTTGGTTTGTTGAAGGAAGGGCAGGTTCTGGCTTGGGATCTGCATTTATCTCCTACAGTTAGTAAAATATTTTCAGTCTACATGGGTTGTTAGGGATACAACAAGTCAAAGGAAGAGGTGGAATTTGGTTGGTTGGTTAGCAATTTTTTACTTCTTCAAATTGTACAGCAGAGTGAAAAAGTTACATATTTTGATAGTGATTTCTTTGTTCTTCGCTTTCTTTTTATTTGCTTCTCATTTTGTTACCCCCAACAATGAATTTTGAAACGCGAATCCACCCTCTTAATTTAGCTTCTGCCACTCTATCGATATGAAGTGTCAAAGTTAAATCAAGGACGGACAATGATTTTAAAATGAGCTGAGATAGTTTATACTTGATGTAGAAAACTATAAGAGAACTCGATTTAAAATGAGTTGAGATTGGTGCCGGGGGTTGGCACTTATAGGCCGCTATCAATATGGGATAGAGTTTAGTTTTAATCTCAGGAGTCAATCATGGTTGGCCGAACGAAACATTGCTACTAGGGGTGGGACATTTGTAATCCGCTATCAACCGTGACATAATTTATACTAAAGTCATCACTTTTAACGTAGTAACGCCCTTTAAGAAAAATAAAAAATTTCTCCGTGAGTGCGCCGGGTGCTAAAGCGTGCCGAACTTAGGGTGTTATTTTTCGGTCGGCTACTATTCACCCGTTACTATTCCTGTGCTACTATTCATACTCTCCTAAACCCTAAACCATCAATTTTATTTATTTTATTTTATTTTTTTGTTAATTTTTTTTTCCCTTACCATAACCAAACTATCACTTCATGTTCTACAAAACGTATTGGCGGTAAAAAAAAAATTCTTATAATCCATGTCAAAACACACTCGAAAACAAGGATATAAATATGAATCTATATAAAGTAAGGTAGGAAGGAAAAAAAAATTCAATAGAAAAAGAAAAAAGCAGAAAATAAATAAATAAAATAGAAAATGATACGATCGGTAATGTCTACCGATTGTCCACGATAATGATCACTATAAAAGTAGCGACTTGATTGCATATTAGTCGCTATTATCATACCGATCCTCCCTTTTCAATTTTTTTTCTTTTTTAGCTTTTTATTATTTATTTTTTAAAAATTTCTTTTATTTCTCTTACCATAACAACAAACCATCATATTTATGTTCTTCAAAATATATTTTTCCTTGCAAAATTTATTATAATTCATATTTAAACATTTGTCATCAACGATTTAAAAATATTTGAATTTAATAGTGGTTACTCAAATAAATAAATAAATAAATTGGAATAGGGAAAAGATTGGTACCATGCTATCGATCCTTGCCCAACCGTACATAAATCACCGTTCAATCTATTTATTTTCACCTTCGCCTCACCGTGAAGTTTTGAAAATTAAGATAAGACTTTCCTTTGAGATTTTTGAGGGTGGAACCCCATTTGACAATGTTTTGGGCCTCACTATTATATTTTTCACTTATTTTTTAGTTTTCGGCATAAATAATCTGCTAAATATACATTTATTACTCAATAAATCGTAAATATGCTTCCAGATGCCTTATAAAGTTTTCCTTAATGCTCACAAAAAAATATTTTTCAAAAATAAAATATTTGCATTTTTGACAAAAAAAACGTGGATTAACACTCACGATTTTTAGTCGGTTTTGTAAATTCATATATATATATCATCGTTCAATCTACTTATTCACCTTCGCTTCACCGTAAAGTTTTGAAAATTAATGTAAGACTTTCCGTTGGTATTCTTGAGGGTGAAACCGCTTTTTTATAATGTTTTGGGCCTCCCTACTATATTTTTTACTTACTTTCTTAGTGTTCGGTTTAAATGTTCTACTAAATATACATTTGTTAAGTTTTAAAAATTAGTGTAAGACTTTTCGTTGATATTCTTGAGGATGGAACCCCATTTAGAGCCTAGTGCAAGAGTCCAAGTTCCATATCAACTTGGGCCGCCACATAAAAGAAATCAAGTGATTGGGTTATCACAAAATTAGTTGGCCCAATTGGAGTAAAAGCAACATACAAAATGCCAACTCTCTCTTTGCACATCGAGAGTACACTCTGTAGCGTGTTAAGTCCGGTGAGATAGAAAAAAGAAAGAAATATATAGTCCGTTAGACCATTTTCAAAGAAAATATCAAATTTTAAATATGTTCCCTTGCATCTAAGTTGGAGTCTCGTTTCTGTAGTGAAGTTGTTTAGAATATTGTCATGTTAGGCAGAAAGATTAATCAAATTTTCGGTGCTTGATGAAAATGACACACAGGAATGTCCTGAAGGCCACCATTGATGTTCCTGAAGCAGGAGAAGCCAACTTTCATTGCACCCACCTCGATCATCTTGATGAGAGTTGGAGGATGAGGCAGATTAATGCTATAATCCAATCAAGCAATGAGCCCCACATCTTGGCTGGAGACCTCAATTCTTTGGATGAGTCAGACTACTCTCAAGAAAGATGGACTGATATTGTAAAGGTGAGACATGATGACACTTCCAAATTATCAGAAATTATCTGTACAAGACCTCCGGTTTTTACCAAAAGGACCGATTTTGTACGGATAACACATCTATGCATTTTGTTATTAACATGTAATCTATCAATGTTTTCAACAGTTCATCATTTAGTAAGTAAATAAAAAGAACGTCATGTTCAGAGAAGAACTGTACAAATTATGTACCTAACAATGCTTTGATTTGTTTTGGCTGCAGTATTATGAGGATATGGGTAAACCAAGGCCTAAGGTTGAAGTAATGAGATACTTGAAGAGCAAGCAGTACACAGATGCAAAGGACTTTGAAGGAGAATATGAGTCAGTAGTTATGATTGCCAAAGGCCAAAGTAAACCAACCCGAAACCCTAATGTTAACTTGTTACCTGGTTTGAGCTTGAGCGCTATTGTTTTTCTAAATGCATAATTTTGTACCTTAACGCAGGTGTGCAGGGAACATGCAAGTACGGAACGAGAGTAGATTATATATTAGCATCTGCAAACTCACCTTACAAATTTGTTCCTGGATCATACTCAGTGTTTTCTTCCAAGGGGACATCAGATCATCATATAGTAAGAGTTGATGTTGTTAAAGTGGATAATTGTGGTGAAGAAAATAACAGCAGAAGAAGGCAGCTGAAGCAAAAAGTTACCAAGATAACAAACCCTACTTCCCAGTCAAAAGGAATATGGAAAATCCCACATATATGAAAAGAACGTGCTATCTACACACCTTTTTTTACCTTTCATACAATCTTCTCAATTTCCGATCATCAGGTCGAATGAAATGAAGAATATCAAATGATAGAAATTAACTTAAAATGTGTAAAAGATAAGCGAGGTGTGCATATAGCACAACCCATATGAAAAAAAACATATAGATTAATAATTGACTTTTACTTTTACAGTTTAGATTTAGGGTTTGGTTTGTTGAAGGAAGGGCAGGTTCTGGCTTGGGATCTGCATTTATCTCCTACAGTTAGTAAAATATTTTCAGTCTACATGGGTTGTTAGGGATACAACAAGTCAAAGGAAGAGGTGGAATTTGGTGTGGTTGGTTAGCAATTTTTTACTTCTTCAAATTGTACAGCAGAGTGAAAAAGTTACATATTTTGATAGTGATTTCTTTGTTCTTCGCTTTCTTTTTATTTGCTTCTCATTTTGTTACCCCCAACAATGAATTTTGAAACGTGAATCCACCCTCTTAATTTAGCTTCTGCCACTCTATCGATATGAAGTGTCACAAGTTAAATCAGGGACGGACAATGATTTTAAAATGAGCTGAGATAGTTTATACTTGATGTAGAAAACTATAAGAGAACTCGATGGACCATGATTTTAAAATGAGTTGAGATTGGTGCCGGGGGTTGGCACTTATAGGCCGCTATCAATATGGGATGGAGTTTAGTTTTAATCTCAGGAGTCAATCATGGTTGGCCGAACGAAGCATTGTTACTGGGGGTGGGACATTTGTAATCCGCTATCAACCCTGACATAATTTATACTAAAATCATCACTTTTAATGTAGTAACCCCCTTTAAGAAAAATAAAAAATTTCTCCGTGAGTGCACCGGGTGCTAAAGCGTGCCGAACTTAGGGTGTTATTTTTCGGTAGGCTACTATTCACCCGTTACTATTCCTGTGCTACTATTCATACGCTCCTAAACCCTAAACTATCAATTTTATTTTATTTTATTTTTTTGTTAATTTTTTTTCCCTTACCATAACCAAACTATCACTTCATGTTCTACAAAACGTATTGGCGGTAAAAAAAACATTCTTATAATCCATGTCAAAACACACTCGAAAACAAGGATATAAATATGAATCTATATAAAGTAAGGTAGGAAGGAAAAAAAAAATTCAATGGAAAAAGAAAAAAGCGGAAAATAAATAAATAAAATAGAAAATGATACGATCGGTAATATCTACCGATTGTCCACAATAATGTTCACTATAATAGTAGCGACAGACCTGCATATTAGTCGCTATCATCAGACCGATCCTCCCTTTTCAATTTTTTTTCTTTTTTAGTTTTTTATTATTTATTTTTAAAAAACTTTCTTTTATTTCTCTTACCATAGCAACAAACCATCATATTTATGTTCTTCAAAATATATTTTTCCGTGCAAAATTTATTATAATTCATATTTAAACATTTGTCATCAACGATTTAAAAATATTTGAATTTAATAGTGGTTACTCAAATAAATAAATTGGAATAGGAAAAGATTGGGACCATGCTATCGATCCTTGCCCAACCGTACATAAATCACCATTCAATCTATTTATTTTCACCTTCGCCTCACCGTGAAGTTTTGAAAATTAAGATAAGACTTTCCTTTGAGATTTTTGTGGGTGGAACCCCATTTGACAATGTTTTGGGCCTCACTATTATATTTTTCACTTATTTTTTAGTTTTCGGCTTAAATAATCTGCTAAATATACATTTATTACTCAATAAATCATAAATATGCTTCCAGATGCCTTATAAAGTTTTCCTTAATGCTCACAAAAAAAATATTTTTCAAAAATAAAAATATTTGCATTTTTTGACCAAAAAAACGTGGATTAACACTCACGATTTTTAGTCGATTTTGTAAATTCATATATATATATATATATATCATCGTTCAATCTATTTATTCACCTTTGATTCACCGTAAAGTTTTGAAAATTAATGTAAGACTTTCCGTTGGTATTCTTGAGGGTGAAACCGCTTTTTTATAATGTTTTGGGCCTCCCTACTATATTTTTTACTTACTTTCTTAGTGTTCGGTTTAAATGTTCTACTAAATATACATTTGTTAAGTTTTGAAAATTAGTATAAGACTTTCCGTTGATATTCTTGAGGGTGGAACCCCATTTAGAGCCTAGTGCAAGAGTCCAAAGTTCCATATCAACTTGGGCCGCCACATAAAGGAAATCAAGTGATTGGGTTATCACAAAATTAGTTGGCCCAATTGGAGTAAAAGCAACATACAAAATGCCAACCGTCTCTTTGCACATCGAGAGTACACTCTTTAGTCTGTATCTTTCTTCACACGTGTTAAGTCAGGTGACATGAGAGATAGAATCCTTGGTATCGTTTGGTACATGGAACTGGACAGAACGGAATGGAACAAGGCGTTCTGTCTCGTGTTTGGTGTACCTAAAATAGGTGGAACATGCTATTCCACGGAATGAATTTTAGGTGAATTTTCGTTCCGCCTCACTCCCCTAGAACAACTCGTTCTACATCTGTGGAACACAAAATTATAACATCTCCATCTCCTTCTTCTTCCTCCTTGTTTCCAACCGAGGACATCTTTCCTCCATCTCCGTTCCGTTCCGTCCGGTTCTGTTCCATCCCGTCTTGTTTCCATACCAAACGATACATTTAGTCTGTATCTTTCTTCACACGTGTTAAGTCAGGTGAGATAGAAAAAAAATATATATATATATATATATATATATATATATATATATATATATATAGTTCGTTAGACCATTTTTAAAGAAGATGTCAAATTTTAAACATAAAATTTGAATTTAATGATTTATGTGACACTTTGATATCTTTTAAAATTTTGTTTTCCACCCGATAGCCGCCAGCCACTAAGATTAACACCATCACAGCAGCCAACTGAACACAGTGGATAAATCTATACATACATACAAAACAACGCCGGATTAAAATCCCAACCAACAAAATCAGAGTTGATCTGGCACAAAACGAAAGGAAAAGATCAAGTCTCAGAGGTAGATATGCGCTTACCTCGAGCCTTAGCCAGCGATTCGCAGCCCTTGATTGAAACGCACCGTACGGAGATTACCGGAGAGGAAAATGCGATGAGGGCTTGGAAATGCAAAAACATGGACGAAGGAAGGAGGAATGACAATCTGAGATGAGGATACAAAGTACTGTGCTCAAAGAACCTGAGATGCAAAAAACAGGGACGAAGGAAGGAGGAAAGAGAAAGAAAGTGGAGGAGAGAAGAAAACAATAAAAAATTAATTAAAAAACGTAGAATAATTAATTAAAAAACATTTGAAGCTGCTGTCAAATTTGACAGCAAGAGATAGAAATGCTATTTCATGTCATGCCATATCCTATTTGGCTTCTCGGTTGAAAAACATTGTTACTGTCTTTTATTATCGTTATTACTGATTTGGATATTTTGACATATTCTTTGGAGATGCTTTTATAACTAGGTTTCTTTTCAATACTTAAAACATTATACTAAATACGGCCTTGAATGTTTCAATATTGCCTTTTGGTTTAATGTCGGGTATCCAAAACTGTCTACGCCTTATTGAAAAAAAATTACGAGAAAAACTTACGTAAGAGCGACGATTATATTCCACATCTTTTATCTTAGTCTCATTCAACCTCATACTAATTCCTTTGACCAAAAAAAAAAAAAAAAAAAAAACCTCATACTAATTGCGATAAAAAACTGATCTAATAAGTGAGTTTATCGAAGCTTCCCTCCTAGTTTGTTTCAACACACATTCAAACAAATTGCACGGTAAATAAGATGATATTATTTTTTTTTTGGTCGGATTAATATCCAAAATACAACTTATTATTCAAGAATTAAGTAAAACCTTGCTCAAATAACTTATTAATCCGACGTCATCTAATCTAAATCTGATTAACTAAAGTAATCATGCACGACCAGCTGCTTCTGATCTTTTTCAAAGCTGTAAAGCACAGAAGTTGCTTCTTCTTTTTCTTCCGGTTGCTGCTTCACAACCGCGGGGCGCTGGGCCTCCTCCATGAAAATCAGCAGCCGTCCATCTCTCCTGACTTTGGTCATGGTGAATCTCGGCCGTCCGTTCCCGTTCATCATGGACAGCAATGGCGGGAAGTCCCTCCTCATTCCGTCGCGAGCTGCTGCCATTACCACAAGTAGGAGTAGTCCCGCTCTATTTTTGTTATGGGACTAATATCTCTCTGGTTTCTCGTATCGTGAAAAGATAAATGGTTCTTCAACCCAATTGCGCAAATATTTATAGCGATTTTGGTTCGTTCCTCCTGGTTCAAACATGAATTATATCGGTTTGGACTTTCCTAATCAGTTAATTTACTCTCCTATTTAAATTTGGAAAGCTGTTAATGAATTGTTAGCACCACATTAATTAATAAAACAACATTAATTGACCAAATTAATTGCAAACGTATTGGCCAAAGCAGATGTGGAGTGTCTAGTATGTATGTACTCCGAGTTGTTTTTCATTTTGTTCAATCGTTGGTGGGGTTTTGAGGGGGAGGGAAGAAAGGGGAGGAGCAGTCTTGAACTCGGATGAGGAAGTATGTATTTCGAGTTTGGATCTCAATTCCCGTACTTTTTTTCTTCTTTTCGAAACATACTTCTTGTTTTGATAGAATGTACGATATCTATTAAGATGCCGATAAAATACGTACATAAAGATTTTATAATATCGCTTGCATGATAGTGTACCCCCTGCAAAACTCTACAGAAAAACTTGTATAGGGTCACCCCTAAATTTTCAAAAGCATCTATTGACTATACTCAAAGTCATTCCTAGGGAAGTTCCCTCTATCGTTGTACTAAAAAAGTTGAAGGTATATGTAGAAGTTGATGAGGGATGCATGTTGTATACGCAGGAGAAAATAGAGGAGTCGGTTGTACTTCTTAGGAGGTGTTGTTCCTCCCTTGAGGATGGTTTGGGAGGCATTTACAAGGTCCAGAGAAATAGAGGTGAAGCAGGCCTTTTGCTGTGCTGTAAAGTCCGGTAGCTTTGACGGACTATCACAGGTAGCCGTCGGGAATGGAGCACCAGCTAGTCGATAGAAACCACCCAAGATCATAAGAAATCGTGACATTGTTCGGTTGCTTGAAGAATCTGCTCTTGTTACGATTTCATAATTTCTTGATGGGGAAGATAATTCAAGGTTTACTCTTGGCAGGGAGTCCGATTACTGCATGATATATCATCTTGAACCCCAAATTGAAGATATAGTGTACATATACATTGTTGAAAAAACAAATTTTGTAATATTTTTTCGATAATCAGGATGTCTGCAACTCGGAGTTTCTGACCTTGTTTATATTCTGGTTCTTGTTTATTTACCGCTCTTGCGCGGTAAATAAAAGCTATATATGTTAGAACAAATACAGTTCTGTCATGAATCAATTTAACTATCTAAAAAAAGCAGCTGTGGATCATCTTGTGGTTTCAAAATCTTCCATCTACCAGGTGGCTGGACTAATCTACCAAAATTTTCAATGTGAATTTCGGACATAGGTTGCTCTTCATTTCTCTGGTTCTTTCAGTTGTTAATTTCTCCTTGGATTTGTTCCAGGGTTTTTCCCTTTGTTTCAGGCACAACCGCAATCACGAACAACACAGCTAGAACATTGATCACTGCATACAGAAGGAATGTACCTGAAATCACACACAAGTAAGTTAATAACTTTGCTTTATAACCTGTAATTACCAACTATCATGTATATTCGGATAAAAAGGGCGACCCAAGCCACCAAGGCTCCCCGCTTTGTGAGGATCGAGGGAAATAAGAAAGGAAAATGGTTATTCTATTTACCATAGGAGTTCCAACTCATAAGAAAGTTGAAGGTGTAGGAACACAGCCATGCACCGACCCAGTTCACTAGCGTTGTTAAGCTTCCGGCCTGTCCTTTAATGTTTATAGGGAATATCTGCAGAAGATAGAATTTTTCTTTGGATTTGTGACATGATCAAGACAACGACTGACAGAGAAATGAGTAAATATTGCGAATCTGATATACCTCTGACATTATAACCCATGGAACTGCTCCCATTCCGATTGAAAAAGATCCTATAAAGATCTGAATGCAGAAACTAACTGTTATTTAAGAATGTAAGGAGAAGAAAAAAACATGAAAAGTTAAAACCGATCTACATGGATAATATGAGATGAATGAGTTACTTACCAATATGCCTGCTACAGAAAATATGGGAGCTGCATCGAATGCCAATTCATGAACCTGGTAAACAAAGAGCTCTCTTGTCATTGTTTTGTTGGATAAAGCACGGAGATAAGGTCAATGTTCAAGGATTACCTTCAGAAAGAATGAAATGGCAACGAGGACACAGCCAAGTATCAACCCTGATGCAGAAGCCTAGAGTGAATTGGAAAAAGTTAAACTTACGCGTATGGATGGGAATCTGTTTCATAAAGTTCTCAAGAATTAAAACTGTGCTATAATTTACCAAAATTAGAGGCTTTCTTCCCGCTTTATCCATTACGGCTGCACCAAGGCCAGTTACGACAACCTGTAGATCAGAACCAGATCAAGATGCTCCTAATTGAGAGAAATTGAAACATTCCAAGAGCTGTCACATTAAGAATGTAGAACCTGAAGAATGGCGTAGGTTATAGTTCCGACGTTAGGAGAAAATCCTGAGGTGGTTTAGATAGTCTTTAGCTTTTGATTGTAGAAAGAAGAATATATATTTTTAAGTGAGTGGTTCAATTTGCACTCAGGAAAATGAAAGAGATACAGACGAGTATATTGAAGTTACATATATACCTGATTGCTCAAAAATATCACTGACATAGAAGCAGACCCCATTGATTCCGCCCAATTGCTGACAGACCATCAACCCGACTGCAATCTGATAAGATAAATATTATAGCTATGAAGCATAGATACGGGTACGGATACGGCGATACGACACGACACGACATGGCGATACGGAAAATTTCTAAAAATTAAGATACGATACGCTATGGATACGGCAAATAAAAATGTATATAGCATCAAAAATATAATTTTAAAACATAATTCATCTTTCAAATTCAAGTACATTTGAGTTGTTAGAAAAGAAAAGTTCGAAACCTAATCCTCTTTATACTGTAGAAGAAGTCTGAGAGTCCTATTCATGGTTTTAATTAGAGGGAAG